TATGTCCATGTAGCCGGCCGCTTCACACGCGACCGCGCCGCCGTGTGCGTCCTCTGACGAGCTTCCCCTTCTCCCGCTGGCTCTTTTCCCAGCCACCACGCCTCCAGCTCCGACGCTTATGTAGCCCCTTTCTCACCCCACTAGCCGTCACGGGCACCTTGGTGCCCTTGCTGCTTGCATCCTCGGCGTGATGGTCAGCTACTAAATCTCCCTCGCTTTCTGCTATTGGGAGGCGCCGAATTGGTGAACGGTGGCGTGTTGGCTCAGATCTCACGGCTCGGCGCAACACCTCCTCCCGCACGCGGCCGCCTTGGATCTCGACGAGGGGAGGAGACGGAGGATTGGTTTGGTTGTTTTTGTTTAATAGAGAGGTTGTTTTGTAAAAAATGAAGCATTTTCTTAGATCCACATAAAAAACACAGAGACTTTCTTGCAAAAATGCCGCGACAGTGAGCGGGAAGAAGCGATAGCTGCTTTATTATTAGGTAAAGATAAAGAATTGGTTTGATGCCAAAAGTTGGCATGTCAATATTTTGGCAAATGCCAAATGTTGACTAGTGATTAGTTGGCTATCAATATTTCCTATCAATCTCACAAAAAGTTGTCAAATTTTGGCAACTTTTGATTTTGACAAATTTTGGCTATGCCAATTGTTGGCATCAAACCAATTATGCTCTATATTCCAGCCTCACATGGCGGACTCCTTTCATGGTGGATTTCAACGAATTTTTGTGTCCCATTCTAGCAGGAGCGAAAATTCAAGCGTTTTGGTTTGCTCAAGTTGAAGACTAAAGAAAAAGTACATTGCTAACCACTGAACGTTATGTTTTTAAGCAACATTACCGAAAGATCTCTCTACCCCATGTTGAACCACTTCGTGACCGATTGTCCTCTCTTTTTTTTCCATTCTCGCCATCCGGTTTTCTTTTCCCTTTCGTGTGTTGTCGGTTTTCCATCAAGGGTAAAGTATAAAGAAGAAATAGATTATTTACTTGGGGTTCAAACCCACGAGCTGAAGCAAGGCATATGGCTAACCAGGCGCAGGAACCACCTCAACTACACTTGTTTGTTGTACAAATCACATAACATCACACTATTTGAACCTTCTTCATTTCAGTGTTTTCCTTTCTTGCGAAAATCTTTATTTTGGTGTTGAACCTTCTTTCAGGGTTGGAGAATGGCTTCTGGTTCGCGGATGGTGGTTTGCTGATGTGATGGTGATGGTGGTGGGTATGGAGATGAGATGGGAAATGGCGGTGGCTAGGGTTGGAGAATGGCTTCGGGTTCGCGGATGGTGGTTTTCGATGATGCTCCTTCGGGATTCTGGTGCTGGCTCCTTTATAAAAGTTGTTGGGGGTGGACGCCATGGAACCTCCCGCGCCTGAAAGTCGGGAAGGCGAATGGTATGGGCAACCCACTTGAATTCCATAAGAAGTCATTTTCTCGTCCCGCGCGCCCGGTGGCGTTTGCTCTGAATCGGCATTAACCCGGCACGGACAAAGCGCACACGATACGAGCGGCGGGCCAGAGTACCGCGCCGTTTGGCCTGCATGCAGCAGTAACCAGGCACGTCGGTGCTGGAGCGGCAAGAATCTCCGTGCCGTTTGGAGCAAAACAAAAAAGAGGGGGTTTTGTGTGGGTCAGGGGTGTCAGAGGCAAACATGGCGGAGGTCCGAACGCCAGGAAACCTCCCCTAGCATTGCTTCCAGTTTGTGAGATTTCAGACGTCCGAACCTTGCAGCGACGTTTGGTGCATGGTGTTGGATGGTCTAAAGTGTCTGCAGAACGCGTGGTCTGGATATTCGCGGGCAATTTGGTGCATGGTGTTGAAGTTGCACTTACAATAGTATATCAGAGGTAGATGTACAAATGAGTTTCACGGCTAGGATAATGTGATGACCTTCATAACCAGCGACTGTTTGTTGGTAGGAATGAAATTGCTTTGCATGGCAATTATTGTTGAACGCGAATGACAAGTTTAGTTGATAAGCATGATTTGTCTTGCTTGCGTACTAAATTTGTCATCTTTGCAGCAACCAAAATCTTTATAGAACTTCGTTTTGCCATGCTTTCCTAGAAAGCGTCAGTTGAATAATATTCTGCTAATTTAATTAGGCCAGTTCTTCGGTGTCCACATTCCATTGGAGATGAAGGAATTAATTGGTCTTCTCCAGCGGCTCACCGGCTTCCTAGGGAAGCTTATACTTTTTGCCCCTCAAATTTTGGCGGAGTTTTTTTTCGTCTCTGAACTACGAAGTCGGACAGCTTGCACCCCTAACTACTGAAACCAGACAATGTTCACCCTGGTCTTGATTTTGACAGGTTTTTCTGCTAACACACCACGGTTTTGACAGGCGCTGACTCAAATTCACGCACTTTTTTCAAGCTTGTGTACTTTTTTTAAATCCATAAACTTTTTAAAATTCACGTAGTTTTTTTTCAAATTCACATAAATTTTTAAATCCACGTACTTTTTTTAGAATTTGCATACTTTTTTCAGGTCCATGTACCTTTTTGAAGTTCAGGTACCTTTTTGAAATCCATGTATTTTTTTCAAGTTCATGATTTTTTGCAAATTCATAAACTATCCCAAATAAAGTACATGAATTTGAAAAAATCATGCGAATTTCAAAACATTATAGGATTTGATAAAAGTACGCGAATTTCAAAAATGTTCACGACTATGAATTTTTTTGCACAAATTAGAGTCAACATGGTCAAATGGAGTTAGTCGGCACGAGAACCAGTCAAACCCGTGTTTTCTTGGGGACGAAGCTTGTCGGTTTCAGTAGTTGGAGTTGCAAGTTATTCGGTTACGGAGTTAAGGGCCGAATCTAGACTCCGCCAATAGACGAGGGACGAAAAATATAATTTTCTCTTCTTCCTGGTTACTTCTCTAAACTTTGATTAATCCCTATATAGCGAAATCACTAGTTGAGGAGTACTCGTTGCAAAGATCACTCCAACTCCCCAGGTTGCGACAAGTGGCGCACATGCAGCGCGCCACTTGTCGCAACCTGGGAGTTTTCCTTTTTTTTGTAGATCTGTTTATTCAAAACGTTTTATCTCTCAAACCGTGCGTCCAAATCTCAAACCATTTTTCACCGTTGGATTCCTCGCGTCGAGATCTTCAAAACTAGATCCCAACTTGATAGGTTTTGGTGAACTTTTTTTTGTGAAAAAAAACCGGCTGAAACAACCGAACCATGAGCACGGGTTTTTTTCCTTTTCCGAAAGAGGCACGCCCGTGCCTCTCATAAAATCACAACCGTGCCTTTCACAGAAGCAAAACCGTGACTCTCGCGAATGAAAAAAATAAATAAAAAACATGTTTTTTTCATTTCCGAGGAGGCACCGCCGTGACTTTCACGAAAGCACACCCGTGCCTCTCGCGGAAGCAAAACCTTGACTCTCGCGAAATAAAAAAACAGAAAACTCGTTTTTTTCCTTTTTCGAGAGGCACGGCCGTGACTCTCGTGAAAGCACAACCATGCCTCTCGCGGAAGCAAAACCGTGACTCTCGCGAAAGGGGAAAAAAGAAAACGCGTTTTTTCGCGCAAAAAATGTTTTTTTTTCGAAAAAAAGTTGGTCGAAAAGCTAAAGAAGACCGGTAAAAAACCAAAACGTCGAAAAAAACAGGAAAAAACCGTTTAAATAGTCGAAAACGCGTGCGAAAAAAAAACAAAATCCGGAGGAAGGCCCACAGCGCGACATGTAGCGAATGGCTGAGAGCGCGCCAAATGACGCTAATCGTTGCGAGGCTCCCGAAGGAGCGCTCGCTAACTAGTGGCTCCCCCTATCTGGCTGACTGAAATTGTCCGGTCAGACATGCTTTCGCGAGTTGAATAAAGGGCCGAACGGCGTTGAGCTTAAAAAAAAGAAAGTTAGACCGGTTCTTTTCCTGCAGTTCAAATCCTGATCTTAGTCGGGCACCTTGTGTACGTTCACCATATTAATCTGGAATGTTCAGAAAATAAAATCTCGGTTGTTATATAAGAGAGAAAAAGAAGGTAACGACCGGGCTTTGTGATTCGTGGCAAATTAGGAATCTTTGTTTGTATCGGAGTAGCAATCGAAACGATCGACTCCGGGTGTTGATCAACGAACAAGGAACCCTAGTACATATATTCGCCAGATGAGAATCACCGGCACCGCACCGTGAGCCGTGATGGCGGCCGCACCGACCAACTCGTGGTGTGGCGAGGACCGCCTGAGCGACCTCCCCGAGGACGTCCTCGGCATCATCCTCTCCTACCTCCCCGCCAAAGAGGTCGCCCGCGCCGCCGTGCTCGCCAGGAGCTGGCGCCACTCCTTCGCCACCGTTGAGGCCATGTCCTTCGTCCAGGACAAGGCCCACGACAAGGACGACCGCAGCTTCACCGCGCAATCCCAGGAGAAGCGCAGCAAGAACGGGGACTTCATCGATGAGGTCAACGCCGCGCTCCTCTGCCGCCGCCGCTGCGGCGCCCGCACGGCGCCGCGCGCCTTCCGCGTCAACTTCGGCTGCTACACGCACTGGGACTCTGCCGTGTTGAACCGGTGGCTCTACCACGTGCTTAAACGCAGCAGCAAGGAGCTCCACCTCGACCTGCGCCTCCAGCACACCGACCTCGCCGAGCACCACGTCAAGGAACCATACAATGGCGAAGGCGACCGCGATTGCGACGACCCCCGCGCCAACGACCCGGCCGACGACAGGTGCCCCGCGAGCTACTCCTATCAGTCCTATCGCGCAGATGAGTACGCGCTTACACGAAGCCTCTTCTCGTGCGTCGTCATACGGACGCTCTGTCTCGGCGCCTGCACGTTGGAGCCGCCCGAGCGCATTGAGCTGCCTTTCCTCGAGACACTGTTCCTAAGCACCATCAGGAGCACCGGCGGCAACATCCAACGTCTCATCTCCGGTTGCCCGCGCCTCATCGACCTCACCCTCGAGCGGTGCGGCTACACAAACAAAAGTCACAAGGACCCTCTCCCCGACAAAAATTTCACCATCACTGTCCTGGATAAGCATCTCCGCAGATTCTCCCTAAGGTGCTGCCACAACCTGGTCCGAGCGAGCATTGATGTGTCCGAGCTGAGGACGTTCGAGTACAGGGGCGACGTGCCGTCGGAGTCGCTCCTCACACTCCACGGCGCGCACAAGATCTCTTCGTGCACCATCGGTTTCTGCGGCAGGAAAGTTTACAAGGGTGAGTTGCCCCTGCTCAGAAGCTTCCTCGAGCAGTTTACCGGCACAAGACATCTGCATCTCGTGTCTACTCATCTCGGTTCAGGCATCGGGAGTGAGTTTTTCTCGGGATTCCCCTACTTTCCGAGCCTCGTGCGGCTTGAGCTGACAGGATACCTTGGAGGACGCAGCATCAAGGCGGTGACTAGGATACTTGAAGTTGCTCCAAGCATTGAGATTTTGTCTCTATTCATGAAGCCAGGTTATGAGGACAGATATCACACCGGATACTTCTGGAGGCAACAGCAAGAGCTCATCAGTGAACCGGCTCTAGATGTTTCGATCCCGTGCTTGCGAAATCGGCTGAGGAGTATCAACCTCGTGCACTACCAGGGCGACAACCGACACAAATATCTAGCCAACCTGCTGCTTTGTAATGGGATGGTTCTGGAACAAGTGTGTGTTGCCTTTCCAAGGGGTGAACACAAGTTGCAGACTAGACTCAAGAAGGAAATCGAAGGATGGTTGGTGAATAAATCAGCAAAAGTGATATTCTTGTAATAAATTTATATAAGTAGTGTCAAACCCAAGCGCATTTTCTCTTAGAAGGCCAGAATTTTGCTTTGTGTATCCTCGGTTCGATTTGTGTCCGGTGTAAAAACATAATCACATGGAAGCTATTGGTGTGGAAAGAGGATAGACCTCATGAAAGCCATCGAGTAGTATATCTAAATTTCAAAATGAAATTAGCAATTTGGTAGATATTGCCATCAGAACTTCGCAAAGCAACCTATAATGGTTCTATGTCATGGCGTTTTTTTTTATTTCTTAACCTCTTAAGTAATCTCTTTGTAGCATCTAAATTGCCCTGTCAAAAAAGAACTTCCACCAATCTGATCCAAAATTATTGGTTTAATGTATATAATCGTATTAGACTATTAGTAAGAGCCTAAATGTATTAATTTAGGACTACTTTGAAAATACAACAGAGTTCCTACTTGACGAAAAAGGGTTTCCCCGCTTTAGATTATAAAGCATCGGCCAAAGAGAGCCAGCACCCAACATACGACGTTCATTACAACAGGAAAGAAAAGAAAAGAAAACGGCAAAGATACAAGACACCAAAGGAGCCGCTAACAAAGTCTGAATGTACCAAGAGGCGGAACATCGAGACCCTTAGCTAACACGGCCCTGCAATCGATACGACCAAGACAAGGTAGCAACCCGTTGTTAGAGGAAAATCACGCTCCATCAACTCCCATAGGGCCACCGTCGTTGTTCCGTCATCTGTGTCTGCCTTCGAAGAAGGCCCCCTGCCCTCTCGTCCTGGATCGGAGGACGCCGCACAGCCGACAGGCAGAGCCGCTCACCCCCGAGCTCGTATGATCTAGACCAACAGGTAACAGGGAGAGGACGACAGCACGACAACCTCCTCTTGCACAGCAGCACCTTGTACATCACCACACCTCCGGCAAGGACCGACATCAACCGCAAGCAGCCGAGCAGGAGCATCTCTGTAGAGTCCAGTAGCCCCCCACCAACTTCTAAGCCCCCAACCAACACTCCACAGTCCCAAGGTGGTGCCTTCAAGAAGAAAAACGTCGCCAGAGCGCGGTCACCACACAATCCGTAGATTTTGGGTTTTCACCCGGGACTTGGAGGTGGAGGGCAGGGCAGGATCTCGGTGTCGCCTATAGGAAGGGGAACGACGCCCGGGGCGCCGGCGACATCGTGGTGGAAGCCGCCAGCCAAGGGATTCCCCCAATCCAAAGCTCTCTTCCCCCCATCCCCAGCCAGCCGCTGGAGGAAGAACCAGCAACGACAGTCGAGGCAGGAAGGAAATTGAGGAAGAAGGCCACCAGCAGAGATCCGCTCCACGGACCGACGAGGAGGCCCAGAGAGCACGCGCCCCGCTCGCCGCCGACCTGCCGCCCGCGCGGCCAAGGCGGCGCCCCTCCGCGCCGCGCCCACCATCCGCCGCTGGATAGGGGGCGCCACCCCAACCGTGGCCGCCGCCACGCCTCCATGCGTACCAGGAGCAGAGCACCACCACCACGGAGCCCTTCACACCGCCTCCAAGCGCCGGCCCCGCCGCCATCGCCCGCCGCAGCGCCGTTCCAACCTCCGCAAGCACAGTGCCACCGCCCGACCTCACCAGCCCGCGCTGGCCGCCACCGGGCAGGGGAAGAACGGCCCAGCCGCCGTCGACGCCGACAGGGCTCCGCCCGTCAGCGCGAGCCGGCGGCGGCGAGGGATGGGAGGGAGGGGAGATGGGAGTTCTTGCGGCGGCTAGGGTTGCCCCTCTGGGTCGCTCACGGGAGCGATACGGGAGGGGGGAGAGGGGATTTTCAAAGTCCTCCTCCTACTTGACCATGGTGAGTTAACTTAAGAAAAAGTGGCCACAAATTTTTCAAGAAATGTTTCCCTTTGGGCAAATCAAGAGTTTCTTGTTAAAAACTTCATGGGCTCCAAGAAAAAGTATACACTCACTTGACCATGGCGACTTAACTTTTGAGAGAGGATTTTCCAGCTTGCATTTTATATGATGACACAACATCCACCTTCTGTTGTTGCCACAAGGTTTGTGTTGTATTTTTTTCATTTATTAGAGAGGGTATATAACTAGGAATCATTCTTCCTGCCGTGGCGCACCACCCTGTGTTACGCCCAGGAGCCGCATGTGAGAATCAACGTCCCCGCAACCTATGGGTAGTTTTTGTTAGACATGATCAAAACTTCTTCTCCCTTCCCTATGCTGAAGGAGTCTGGCCTCAAGGCTAGGCCCAGGAGAAGGATGACTACAAATGGATCCAGAATACTACCATAAAGCTCCATGGCCATCGCAAAGGCACGAACAAACGACACTAGTCCTATCAAATATGGGTTAGTACTAGGGAGTGGTCGTTGAGTGTGGGTGACTATCGATTGTGGCGGCGAACCTTCTTGGGGAAGTCATCGTTGAGTGTGGGTGACTATCGATTGTGGAGGCGAATCTTCTGCGCTTCTCTTTTGGCGGCACTCTAGTGCCGCTTCGCGCCTTTGTTGTGTTTTGCCGTATTTTTATTCTTTCATCAGCTTTGAGGATTTTCCTAACACCATGTATCCTTTTTGAGCAGATTAGCTTTATAATATAAAGTGGGGCGTGAGCCTGTTTCGAGAGAAAAAACCACCGGACACCGAGGATCCAAATAGGTCGAGCAATCTCTGGAAGGGGCCGTCTCACCATAGAAACTACCCTCTCGCTCCAGGCCATCGATCCAAGGTCAATCATCGCGTCATCATTACCAACCATCTTCTTCATAATGAGGCACTACTACAGGATTGGTCTCTTGTAACACGTTGATGTGCTACTACAGCTTAGATATTGTGTTACTGAAGCGCGTAGTAACACGTTTTTGTATGTGTTCCTGTAGGCTATGTTACTAGGTGGTGTCTATTGTAGCACATAAACATTGTTCCTATATGTATTTACAGGTGTTACAGTTGTATTGCTGCAACACAAGCCATATGTGTTACCGAAGGCCTTGGTAACACCTTTTTAGAACTATAGGCACACACTTTGTAACATGTTTTTCCTGGCGTAGCAACATCGTTGGTAACACGTTTTAACAAAACTGCAACACAATTAGTAATCATTGGCAGTAATTACAATAGGGCTTTGTAACGCGTTTTGATATTCCAGCAACACGATTTCTTTACTATAGCAACACAGTAGTAACATAATTTTGTACATATTGTAACATCTCTAGTGGTGATTGGTAGCAAACACAGTAACACCTTTTCCTAACTATAGTAACACGGCATAATTAGTCCAATGTGGTACTGCAAAAATTTTGTATGAAATATTGTATATATACACGTTTTTATACTTCCTCATAGTGAAAATCGATAAGCAATATGACACGGATACACGGTGTATACTATATAAAAGGACCATGGACATAAAGCTAGCATATGCACAAGAAAAATGATATAAAATATCAATAAGGTCCTTGCCATTCCATAGCATTTATAACAATGAGCATATAGAAGATCCATATTGTAGCAAAAATAAAATACATTTCTCAACCCATTAATGTAAACTATAGTACGCGAAAGATTTCCTATAACTGAAACCATGTGACACCCCTATTCATGTTCACTAGAATGTGCCCCTCGGATCTTTCTTGCATGAATATGCCATATTTGCATCTTGATTCCTCATGAGCAGAAGCATCCGAATCAACTCAACCATTGAACCTCTCAATCTGGGGAAAAAACAGTCACAACTACATTAAGTATATTGCAAATATAATTTAACAAAACTCAAGAAGTTAAATATTGACATACACAAGCTGAAGGCCAAGCAATTGTTAATCCAGAGGTGAAAGCATCACCAATTGTCATACAATTTTCCCTTTCCCTTACCAAGCGCTCACATTCCTCAATAGGTTGATCAACTTGCACTTCTATGAACTGCCGACCTAGCTCAACGCCACCAACCATTTTTTTGAACTACAACCCAAAATGCTAGCATGTGCCACATGCCTTTTGTTTGGATATATTGAAGACTTCAGAATCACTTTTGTGCCAACCTAAAAAAGGTTCAAATTATAATTGGCATTAATAAAAATCAATTTTGTGAACACGAATCTAGTATAAACACACTATTTTTGTTACCTCCATGGAAGGACTACGTTTCTGCTTAGAGGACACATGGACTACAGACTTGTCTTGAGTGCTTTGTTTGTGTACTCTAGTCAAATTTCCATCCATATTCTCCCTGCTCTTTCTCATCTAGAGAGAAACATAAGAGGAAAAAATGATTTATCATTGTGATCTTGCAATGTAAAATTCACAGTGCATTTTATTCATCAAATATTACATGTGTCGACATCATTTTATAACATCAGGAGAGTCCATTCCATGCAAATCAAACTTAAAATGCAGAAACTCATTCATTCATCATTCCTACGAAAAATTGTTTCCTATCAATGCTTAGCAAGCAGATTTCTCAAGAGATAACCATTACCTCTCTATCAAAAACAACATGGGCTGGTGATGATGGTACTTGATATGAGAATTTATTGCAACCCTCATTTTCAAGATGATGCTTCTGTACAACAATATAAATAAATTAATAAGTATAGTGTATCATTTATACCATGAGTAACGATAAGATTCTAACTTGTTTGCCCGACAGAATGTCATTATCTTCGTGTGTGCCATGTTGATGTGGGTTAGTTTTATTCTGCATTTTACATGAAGAGGCATTCGTTTATAGAAAGTTATAAAGTGTACTAATAAATAAACAAATTTACCATTGTTGTATCTCTGGGATTGACCACTATGTGTTCTGCATCAGGTCCATTGGCATGAACTCTCTGCAAAATGAAATATTTATAAATAGAGATGAAAATAAACCAAAACATGTCGAATATATTGACAGTACCTTTCTTTTATTATTATGTAGTACTTCTGGATGAGATTCACCATTACCTACGGTTTGGAAATTTTCCTACAATAGAAATTAAACATGTTTCAGTAAAATACTTGTATGAATGCAACAAAAAAGATATTTA